CTCTTTCCTTATAAACCAGGCCTCTCTTACTCTCGTTTCGTACCTGTTCCACGGCTACTGCCTTATCTAGCGTCTCTCGACCGTTCGCCAGGATAGAATCCGCCACCTCGAAAAACCGTATTTCATGGCGGCCGTCTAAATGGAATGCGAAAACCGTCGCTGGCCGATTTTATTGCAGGAGCGTTACAGTCGCCACGGTGACGGGAGAGGCGACATCGAGTGCCTCTAAGATACCGCTTTATCGCCAGTGACATCACATTGCAGTACTTTATTCGGTTATCGTGTAACAATAAAAACGGGAGCAACGATATTACGCCGTGGAGCAAATTAACTGATCGTTACGTATATAGGGTGGACCATGTATAAATGGGATCGCTTAAATACTTATATTGTTTCATAAATACACAGAGTGTCCTGTAATATGCAGAATCTATTTCCAAGAATTGATTTAGCACTTGAAAACAATGAAAAAAGTTCGTAGAAACATATGTTCTGTTTGTGTCTTGTTTACGAAATATAACGAGTTTTTAGAAGATGGAAGGATAGGTTACGAACGATCTCTTTTTCCCTAACATGTTGTGTTATTCGATATTGAAGTCCAACGCGGGCTATGCCCCCCCCCCCTCCCCCCTCAACCGAAGCTCACTTCAACGTGAACTAGATGGCAGTAAAGATCGATTGTTTTCCTCGAAGATCAGTTGATTTCTGGTCGTCTAAGGACAGTGGAGGATTCTAGGGAAAATCCATGCAGGAAACATCGACCGTAAATAGTGTTGTCTTTAGGTTTAGTTTCCTTAAAATCTTCGATGCAATTAAGTTAACAGTACAGAGTAATTGCACGAACAGTTGAAAAACGTCTAATATCTTGGAAATGTATATAGACGCTCGGGTCGTCGAGAAGAGGAAGAAATAAAACTGGATTAGCCGTAAATGCCTGTTGTGGTCGGTGGTGGGTCCTGACGGCGGGGAATACAAGGGGAATTCCCCGGGACAACAGGCCCAGCTGGTACACACAACACCTGTATGTACCTGCCTGACCTACCTTGATTGATTTCTGGTGGCCGTGAGGTTAAGTACACGACTAC